CCCCGCTGTGTGGCCGCAGGCGGGCGGCCCGCGGGGAGGGCAGAGGGGCCCCTCCAGGCGACGCAGGCTGCCTGGCCAACCCCGGTGTCAGGCATCTAGTAACTGTTCCGGGGAAACTGGGATCGAAGCATTGCTTCTGAGCCCAGGCCCTTTTTGCCCACAATCAATTTTTGGAATTTAAAACAATTTTTAAAAAGCATATAAATGAGAACAATATATTAAAGGCCAATGTTTTGAAAGCAACACGTTAGTTATGCGGCTTCTCAGCGGTTGCAGCAGGCGTCGTGTCTGCGCATGAGCCAGCCCTCGGCCACTGGGTAAGAATCTCTGCTTTCATCTCGCTAATTATCAGACATGCAAATCCAAACCACACTGAGGTGGCACCTCACACCAGTCAGAATGGCCATCATTCAAAAGTCCACAAACGATAAATGCTGGAGAGGCTGTGGAGAAAAGGGAGACCTCCTACACTGCTGGTGGGAATGCAGTTTGGTGCAGCCACTGTGGAAAACAGCAGCAGGTGCCTTAAAAGACTAAACTAGACTTAACATGTGACCCAGCCATCCCACTCCTGGGCACATATCCAGAGGGAACTTTAATTCAAAAAGATACATGCACCTCAGTGTTCACAGCAGCACTATATACAACAGCTAAGACATGGGAACAACCTAAATGTCCATCAACAGATGACTGGATAAAGAAGCTGTGGTATAGTTATACAATGGAATACTACTCAGCCATAAAAAAGAATGGAATACTGCCATTTGCAGCAACATGGATGGACCTAGAGATCATCATTCTAAGTGAAGTAACCCAGAAAGAGAGAAAAATATATGATATCACTTATATGTGGATTCTAAAAAAAGACAAATGCACTTACTTACAAAACAGTAACAGACTCAGACATAGAAAACAAACTTAGGAGGGAAGGGGGTGAGAAGGGATAAATTGAGAGGCTGGGATGTGCAGATACACGCTACTGTATGTACAAAAGATAAGTAACAATTTCATAGTGTACAGCACAGGGAACTATAGTCAATATCTTGTAGTAACTTATACTGAACAAGAATATGGAAATAAATCTGTATGTGTATGTATGACTGAACTATTATGCTGAGAAACCGACACAACACTGTAAACTGACCATAGTTCAAAAAAATAATCCATACCCACCCTTCTTGGAAAAAAAGAGATATGAATAGAAAAAGAAAAGAAACACTACTTTCACTTCAGATAAGCAGCGCACCTCTGCAGGGCCTGCAGGGACGTTTCCTTGAACAAGGCACAGCAGTGACCAGTCAGTGACGGCGCCTGCACGCGCTGCCAGCACTGCAGGGACGGTGCAGTACGCGTCTCTGAAGGTGGCGGGAGCAGCACACCTACTCTGTCGAGGTATAATTTACATCCAGGAGGACTCGCTCTTCAGTGAGTTCTGATAAACTTGGTTGCACATCTCACCACAGCAACCCAGGCACAGAACAGTGCCACCACCCCACCACTCCTTCACGCTCCCCTGCTGTCTGCGCCAGCCCGGGTAGCCACCGATCGGCTTCCTGTCCCAGTGTGCCTGCCTCTTCCAGAACACCCTTTAAGTGGCATCACACAGATACAGCTTTTGGGGCCTGGCTTCTTTCATTTGGACAGTGGTTCTGAGGCCCGTTCACACCACTGGACGGATCGACAGTCTGTTCTGCTTTTACTGGCGGGTGGTACCCCCTCACATGGGTGCACCACAGCTATTTATCCACCTGGAAGGCGTCTGAGTGGTTCCCAGTCATCAGTGACTGTGAGTTAAACCACCATAAACATTCATGGACAGCTTTTTTGTGTGCAAAGAAGAGAGCACTAGTACGTATATACGAATGGAGCTGGACTGGACTAAGTGTAGGTTTAACTCTACAAGAACCCACCCAACTGTTCTGGGAAGGGATTGCACCATTTGACACTCCACTGAAACCGAGCAGGACCCTACAGGGCCTTCCTGGGGACAGGACCCCCTCCTCACCATCCCCTGCCTCTTATTTGTAGAAAAAGTTCAGCTTTTTAGGCCTTTCCTGAGTTCTAAAGAGCAAATTTAATCAGAGAAGTGAGAAAAATACAGAAACAAAGGGAAATAGTCAAGCAAGATGAAATAATAGTTTAGCTGTAAAGCAATGCCAAGGACCCTTCACTCCTCCTCAAGGGCTGAGGACGATATCCTGAGAGTTGTTCTGCAGATGCTAAAACCCCCACCAGGTGGAGGAAGTTCACTGCTGACCACCAGCACACAGACCCCAGACCGGCTGGCGCCAGAAGGCCCACCCAGTTACCTCACCACCAGCCAATGAGAAGCACGCCCATGAGATGATCAGGCCCCCTGTGGCCCCTCCCTCACCTTGTTTTTAAAGGCCCCTTCCCTAAAAGCCATAGGGGAGCTCAGGTCTCCTGAACACAAGCCGCCGGTTCTCCTTGCTGGGCGCCTGCAATAAATGCTGTGCTTTCCTTCACCACGACCTGCTGCGCGCAGACTGGCTTTGCTGCCAGGTTCACGGGGAGCAGGGGCTCGCTGCTCACCTATTTTCTCCACAGGTGTGTTCAGAGGGAGGAAGCCTTGTCTGAGAAGCTGGTCCATCATCTCCTCGTCGTCTGCTTGGATTTCGGAGACCATGTTGCAAGGAATAAGGCCGAGCCGGGCACAGGTCTCCCCGCGGTAGAAGCCATCAGCATCCTTATCCCCGTAAACCTGCAGTGTGAGAAGCGGGAGGAAGGCGCTGGGGGCTCGGGAGCACATCGGCTCTGCCGCGAGGCCAGCGGACGTGCGGAGCACCGGAAACACGTGTGCGTAGCCCTGCCGCAAACCTGCCTCCCCAGGAGCGCGTTTCGGCCCCGGGCCTCCCTCCCCGCCGGGGCTGCCAGCCCAGGCCGGGGCTCCGCCCGCACGCGCGCGCGCCCGAGGCGCAC